ATTATCAATGTATACAAATAAACTTACCATCAAAACATAGTTAATAAACCAAATTTTGATACAAGTTTTCATTTCTTAATTTCAAAATTAAATATTTCATTAAGTCCTCAATCTCCCCTTGTATGTGAATTGTGACATTTGTTAGCTATGACTTGCCCATTATCTATTTTATCATCACCCTTCTTTGAGGCCCTGAGCTGAACATAAATTACTCATTATAGTACTGATGTTACTAAAGCACAGTCTAATTTTTATAGCTTTAAATATTCTTTATTTATAGAAACATAAACTAGAATGTCAGGCCCACTTTGAGGCCCTGAGCCAAACATAAATTATTCATTATAGTATTGATGTTACTAAAGCACAGTCTAATTTTTATAGCTTTAAATATTCTTTATTTATAGAAACATAAACTAGAATGTCAGGCCCACTTTGAGGCCCTGAGCCGAACATAAATTATTCATTATAGTATCGATGTTACTAAAGCACAGTCTAATTTTTATAGCTTCAAATCTTCTTTATTTACAGAAACATACACTAGAAAGTCAAGCCCACATGCTATGCCCACCTATTACAACCTCTCTTTCCCAAATTGCCATTTGCTACTGATGTATAATTATATTTTGTTCTCAGTACAGAGTTTCAGCTATTTCATCCACAGATTGAAAGTTACTATTGCTAAACTTAAGGGCATATTTGAAATAAACAATAATTATTTAATGTGCTATTATCATCATTACAAAAAAGTAGGCTTAAGTTTCATTAGCAGCTCAACAGAAATAAAACAAGAAACCAAATATAAGTACTAAATTTCTTATTTTTTTATGTATACGTTAAATTTATTGTTATAAAAGTAACTAAAATGTAAAAATTAGAAACTTATTAGGTTAGATAATGAAAAAAAATTTCTCTACGAGATACGTCACGACTAGCTTGTGTGTTATGTCATTTAATACAGTAACCTAAGTTATGCATTTGGCATGTGATTTACAGATTCTTTGCAGGGTTATTAGACATGGTCCAAAGAGCAATAAAACAATAAAAACTGATGTAAACTGTTATGATACTTATACTGCTTATGATAAATAATTGTGATATTCTGTTACAATATGCTGTCATTCTAAAAAGAAAAAATGGGTACTTAGATTTATTTCCTATTTGTTTGTGGTGGTTACAAGATTGGTCAAATTAATGGAGTTCGTATAGAGTTAGAGTAGGGCAAATAACAAATGAAATATAAAGTTTTACTGACAAAAACGTTTGATATTCATTTAAGAGGTTTTAGAGATTATGCAAATGAAATGTAAAAACTGTAAGATGAAAGAAGTGTTTTTCATCTTATATATTCACGGAAGAATCTTTAGTAGAAGATACTTAATTAAGAAATCTGAATTTTTTCTACAAAAGATTTAAAATATTTACTAAAAGCTTGTTAAATTTCATGGAGACACACTAAATACACTATGAATCATAATAATCGTTATTTCTTCAGTACAGGCTTGGTCCATTGAACCAAGCTCGTGTATGTGGGTTAAAACATTCAGTGGGAAGTTTTCATTATAAAATTCAGTTTGATATTTTCAGAATAAAGCTTACAACAGTCATTTTATGACAGTGTTTCTATGGAATCTATTCAACACACTTTGAAATGTGTACAATACCTCAGACATGTTATACAATAACAAACACATTTTAGTGAAGTTTAACAGAAATGTTACATTCTGATAAATGATCAATACACACAAGAGGTCAGCATTTTTTTATCCTCTGCAAATTGCAATGCATTATGAAATGTAACAGAAAGTTTTTAACCAATAAAATGGATAAACTTCAGTGTTATTATCACAGTTAACATAAAAAACATCAAGATCCAGTAAATAAAAGCAGTTTCAACTGATATTTTTACAGTATATAACAAAAAGGGGTTTCCATGTTCTAACAGATAATTTTTTTATATAATTAATAAATGCACTCCAAACAAACACTGGGACAGATTCAAGCTCTCTTAATGCCACATTAAATATTACTGTGTTAACGTACCTTATCATTCATCATCTGTCTGGTTGCTACATAGTTTAATTGTTAATCACTGTTTTGGGGGATATATAAATAAAATTCACTCAACCATTCATAGTGGGTTGTCATCCCTGTTCAATATCACTGGTATATCAGCATAAAAATGAATGATTAAGTTTCTACTTACATAAAAAACATGCGTAACACAAAACTAAAGACACCTGTCCAAGTATAAATATAAAATTAAAATGATATTAACAAAAGAACTGACAATTTGACAGACAGTTTTTAACTGCACAGAAATCACATGTAATAACATTTTAACCAAATCACAGTGAAGAAATACACATTAAACAAAGACTTTCAAGTGAATTTGGAAGAAATGCTGGTTTCTCTTTCAGCATCTATTTTTTCGCTACATTCTGCTTTTTCTGATTTTCAATTTAGGCATTAGGATGTTTCTAAAGTTTTTTAATACACGTGTGCTTAGTATTTACACTTTCATGATTATATATATTTACACTTTCATATTAAGTTTAACTTAACAATTAATAGATGGATACAAAATCTCTATAAGGATCAGTCATCATTTGATTAAGTAAAAAACCTCTATAAGGATCAACCAAGTATATGTGAATGTATTTTCTGTGGGAGTCCTGTAATGCTATTTTCTGGTAATATTATAGTATTAGTAACATTGTTTCATTTTAAAATAAGGCATCAAGGTTTTTACTTAATCAAATGATGAGTGATCCTTATCGAGGTTTTTTACTTAATCAAATGATGAGTGATCCTTATCGAGGCTTTTTACTTAATCAAATGATGACTGATCCTTATTGAGGTTTTTTACTTAATCAAATGATGACTGATCCTTATAGAGGTTTTTTACTTAATCAAATGATGACAAAGGCACCATTTAACATATGGTAAATAGTGTGTTCTAATGGTACCATTTAACATATGGTAAATAGTGTGTTCTAATGGCACCATTTAACATATGGTAAATAGTGTGTTCTAATAGCACCATTTAACATATGGTAGATAGTGTGTTCTAATGGCACCATTTAACATATGGTAAATAGTGTGTTCTAATGGTACCATTTAACATATGGTAAATAGTGTGTTCTAATGGCACCATTTATCTTATTCATTTAGATTAGATATGTAATAGACTTCATTATAGTTTTTGTTACTTGTTTCTAAGCCAAGTTAGAATTTTGTGGTAATGTGTGTGTTATATGCTATATTTTGTGTTTTAGGCAGTGAATTTCTGTATTGCGTACGTTTTAATGACATATAACCAGAAGAACATTAAAATATTAAGTGTTTGTTCTATCTGTTCTTATTTAGTTCAACTTTATTCGGGCATACGAGTGTTTCACCCACAAGAATCACACTTGCTTGGTGTTTGAGATGCTAGAACAAAACTTGTATGACTTTCTGAAACAGAACAAATTCAGTCCTCTTCCTTTGAAATACATCCGTCCCATCCTACAACAAGTGCTTACAGCTCTGCTGAAGTTGAAGGTAGGGTAAAAATTTAAAATATTTTGGTCATCTGTAAGCTAGGTTAGTCCATGAAAAGTGTGTAGTAGGATTACTAGATTATAATGAAAAATGAAAATAAAATGATAGTCTAGGAAGAGTTACATAGTTTATCTCACTTTACCTTTCAGCAACTCGGACTAATCCATGCTGATCTTAAACCAGAAAATATCATGTTGGTGGATCCTGTACGCCATCCTTTCAGGGTGAAGGTGATCGACTTTGGCTCAGCTAGCCACGTTTCAAAAGCTGTGTGCTCAACATATCTTCAGTCACGATATTACAGGTAAACAGAATTTATGTATAGAAATCTTGGTAGTTAAACCTCTTAAAATTTGTACTTTCAACATTAACAGTGTACTTCATGTAATGCTGCAGCTCTTCTGAAGGATCATTTGGTGGATATTTGTGATAAATGACAAAGGCATGTTAATGGAAATATCAATTTCCATGTTGATAACCCTTCAGAATATTTTAAAGTTGCATTTCTTCAAGCATGCAGTATGAATGTCAGAAAAGGCTTTTTATCTTTGCAAGCTGTTAGTGTATCTCAACTTAAAATAATACATTACCTATCTCATAATCTAGGCAGTTAGTGTGCTGGACTGTAGAGCCGAGGATCCATGGTTTGCATCCTGTTACCACAAAATTGTAATCTGCACTTTGAGGCCATGGGTGTGTTATAAGAATGACAGTCAAACCCTACTTTCCAATTACAGTAGCCTAAGAGTGGACCGTGAGTTATGTTGGTTAGCTTGCACTTTGAGGCCATGAGTGTGTTATAAGAATGACAGTCAAACCCTACTTTCCAATTATAGTAACCTATTAGTGGACCGTGAGTTATGTTGGTTAGCTATCTTCTTGTTAGTCTTATCACTGCATAATTAGGGTTGACTAGCTCAGGTGGTACTTGTATAGCTATGCATGAATATCCAAAACGGACAACTTGCCACCTCTCTATTTACTGTTGGTGTTGTATGTTTGAGTGTTAGTGCCACCTGTCAAAGTTACATAATCATCTCATTGTATATTTCATTTGGTTTAGTCTTCACACTTCATTACCCAAAGGAAAGAGACCAATATTCTATAAATATTATCTTTTGTCATTTTTCTTACGGTGTTTTATTTTCCTATAATATCCTAAACAAACCTTACCCTGTTTTTAATTTGAATTGTTTACAACCACGTTATTTTTTTAGTAAAATATTCAGCATGTAATAACATTCTGTTGCACTTGTAACTATAATTTTTTTCAATTTAAGGATTATAGAACTACACAATAGATCAAATATGTGGCTTTTGTGTATTTTGAAAAATAATAACAATGTATTTCTTACAGGGCTCCTGAAATTATTCTTGGCCTGCCATTCTGTGAAGCAATTGATATGTGGTCCTTAGGCTGTGTGATAGCTGAACTTTTTCTGGGGTGGCCTCTTTACCCTGGGTCTTCTGAGTATGACCAGGTAGTTAATAATGCATCACATCCGTAGATCATGGTTTCATATAATGAACATCGTTTTCTCTTTGCTAGTTTATACCTATGTAGTTTAGGTCAAAAGTGCATAATTGAATGGTGATACACTGATTTTTCATTCATCTCAAGTTATTACTATAACCTTAAATATATTTTCTTCTGTAAAAATAATAAGAAAATACGCTAAAGTAACATAGATATTTGTAGCCGTGGTTCATAGAACAGCTCTTGAGTTTTTTGTTTGTTTTTTGAAGTATATACTTTTAGCTCGTAACTCTGTCATCATCTCTTGACCAATTTGAGATCTAATTACAGTTTTGGACTCAAGAGGTTAAACCCTTTCAATTGATGTATTTGACCATGCCCAAGGTCTCATACATTAATTTACTCTAATCCTGCCTAAAAGAATTTCAATTTGAGGGTAGGCTGGTAGAGATCCTGATGATTAATAAAACAGAATCAGGTATACGTGCACCCCCACGATTGGTATTGTTGGTGCACAAAAATATAGCTAATAAAAAGGAAAAAAAGGTCTGGATTAATTTACTCTAATCCTGCCCAAAAGAATCTCAAGTGCTGTGGCTATTGAGGATTCCCTCTTGTTTTACCTGCCAGCTAGTAAGTATGTGTATACACTCTGGAAAGCATTGCTTATATGAGAATGACTTGCTTGAGGTTATTTACAAAATGTCTGTAAGAACTCTCAGAAGAAAATTAAGAAATCAATACTTATGTTAAAATTTGATTTATTAGCTACATTTTGATGCCAGGTTTATTCATATACATTAATAACGAAATAGATTAATTAACTTTGAATGTAACTCTGTAAAAGGTTGTGATATGCACAATTTAACCTACCCATAGTGAGAGGGTTAATATAGTTGTCTGTTTGTAACATTCATTTTCTGGAACAGTAAAGTGAAATCATGTTACTCATATAACTAGCTTGAATTTGTTTTTGTTTAATTATATTTTACACATCCTCTGTCAATATCATCACCTCATATTTATTATTGGGATTTACACACTAACCACAGGTTGAGCAGGCCACATATATATGGCATAATTGTTGACCAAGCAAAAAATATTATTCATAGTTAAAGGAAAGATGACACAAGCAGTAAATAAAAGTAATCATTAACTTCTGCTATTTCTTAGTTTCATGTCACTAGTGTATTTTTTGCTGTCCCTGAATCTACTTGTATTTTGAATAAAATACTTTTTTATGGCCAGTGATAAAATAAAACAAGTGATAAACTTAAATTATTACATTTAGTGTTTTCAAGTGAAAACTAACTGTACAATGTTTACTTATAAGTATGCAGTGCTTTAAATAAAGCAGAAGAATTCTACTGAATAAAGATAGATTTTTACCTCCTTTTGACCTTTCTTTTTAATATTTCAGCTGTTGTTTTCTTTGTATGTCAGTGATCATATGTATGAACAAAAGAATTATATATGTTATTTTATTAAAGCAGAAAATATTTAGTTCTATTGAAAGACCCTAATGGATACACTTACAAGATTTGAATAAAATATAGAAAGTCAAAGATGAAAGGAAGTTATTTGTACTTTTTGAATATAAAAACTGTAAACATTATTTCGAAACAAAATTTCACGAGATAAAAATTGATGCAAGTACATCAAATGTGTTTTTTTTTAAAAACGGAGAAACATTATTTGGAAAGTTTCATGTGGTTCGACTGAGTAGTTTTAGTAACTGTGGTGTGAAATGATACGTCTGTAGCATTGTTCATGTGTTTCAATAATGACCTATCACACTAGTATCATAGTCTGTTAGACAGTATTTTTATAGGTGAAACATAATGATCAGTTAGCTTCAAAGAGTGTAAGCATTGAACAAGCACGTAGGTAGCAACCTGTGTTAGTTAAGTCACTTACTGGTCGGTATAACACTTATTTATATTTGATTATGCTTGTCTCTAGTATTATTTATATATAATCTAAACCCAATCTTTGTCATGTGGTTACATACTAGTGTTTTATTTTGGTTCTTTCAGATAAGATATATCAGTCAGACACAAGGATTGCCAGCAGAACACATGTTGAACAATGCCACAAAGACTACTCGTTTTTTTTACAGAGAAACAGACAGCAACTATCCTTTCTGGAGATTAAAAGTACATTCACATAATAATAACATAAAATATTCTTATTTAAAATATGAGAAGTTGTGAAAATGTTGATCTATATAATCACTTTCAAAATAAGTTTGTTTTAAATATTAAACATAGATTAAAATTAAACACAAAGAAAATCAACAGGAATGGCAGTAGTATATTATAATCACTTCTAAACTGTATGAAAAAGGCATTGTAATAGTTTTTTTTTATCAATATTGAATAATAATAAACTTTTTCTGTATGTTATAATATTGGTTTCCTAACGTAAATCTTCACTCAAGTGAAATAACTTCTGTTGTGTGCGTATGTCTAGATTAACAAGATACGTTTTTGTTGCGGTTGAAATCTATGAAGTTATTATTTTACTCTTAAAATGAATGGACATTAAAGCTATGAAATTTCAATCTCAAAGTTCCAAGCTTTGACTAACTTTAGTATAAGCCATCAGACACTAAAGCTGTGACTAAAAATCTTGTATGAGTGCTTCTAATGTTTATAAGTTTGCAATATCTCTATTTTTCCTTTACATATTATTGAAGAAAACCTAGTATATAATGTGAATTTCCATTTCAAAGAAATGAAATATTGTAAAATAAATTTTTTGTGTTTCATAGACCCCAGAAGAACATGAAGCAGAAACTAACATTAAGTCTAAAGAAGCTAGAAAATATATCTTTAACTGTCTTGATGACATGGCACAGGTAAGTAGTTTGTTCTTTAAAAAAAAATTATATAACTTTATTATTATTATTATCTAAATTTGAAGTTCAAAAACATTTTAAACGAAAATTTGATGTTGTTTATAGATAAATATTAAACATAAGAAGTTATAAAAAAAGAAAAAATTTTTACTCTTTCCTGATTTGTTGCTATGTATTCTTACCTCCCTGCCCTCTGGTGGTCTAACAGTTAGCTTGTGAGCTTATTATTTTAAAATTCAGAGTTCAGTCCTTGCAGTGAGCACAGGTTGCCTGTCCTGTAGATTTGCACGTAACAAACAAACAAAAAAATTACCATGCTTCTAATGGTTTTTTTAATATGATATAAAATAATCTATACCATAAAGCAGATTGTGCCTGTTTTTCTGTCCATGACAAAGTTTTCTTGATCTCTGATCACCATGAAACTTCAGAGGTCTTTGGGTACAGTCCAGATCGCCAGTATACTTATAAGTACAAGTTGGATAATATATATTGAAAATAGATACACTAATATGAAGAAACTGTCCGATGGAGGTGAATTTCTAGAAATGTTTATGCCAACATTCAGTAGACCTGAGTGGTAAATGACACACATACCATCCATTCATTCCCTTGAAACCAATAAAATAAATGGCATGTGGACCTGTGGTAGTTTGTAATACTCTAAATTAGTAGAAGTACTTGCCAAATTCTTTACATTAGGTGTCTGTGACTTTTTGGCAATATATTTGAACAACAAATGGACAGCACATAATCCACTTGTTTTAAAATATATTCAAAACAAGTCAAATGTATGTACAAAAATTCGTTACACTATTGTTTACCACAGTTGTATCCAGAGCTTTAAGTAATTCTCTTTTTCGGCAAAAGTCCACAGAGGCTGGTTCAATTACTTTAGAACCTAGTTGACAAGACGAATTATTTCTTCTCTCATCTATTATCACAATTTAGTCAGTTATAAATTCACTTTTGTTACCCCATGGGTTAGCACAGTTTATCCAGAGCTTTAAATAATTCTCTTATGCGTCAAAAGTTCACATGGGCTGGTTCAATTACTTTAGAACCCAATTGACAAGACGAATTATTTTTCTCTATCTCTGTTGTTACAATACAAGCTGTGATACTCACTTTAATATCACCATTATAATTGTTGGTTACCACAGTTGTATCTTAAGAGTTTTAAATAATTTTCTCCTTTTCATCAAAGTCCACACAGGTGGGTTCAATTACTTTAGAACATCCTTTGACAAGACAAATTATTCTTCTGTATCTCTGTTTACAATACAAAGTGTGATACTTTCACTATAGAAATCGACTGTTTTGGCTAAACTGCAATCACGCAGTCTAACTTCACTTTCTTACTTGCACTCTGTATCTGCATGTATTTATAACAACAATATTGAACATAATGAAAAACTTGGAAGCTTTGATTAAGATGATGTCAACAATATTACAAAAGCCTAATACAACAATTAAACTGCATACACAACATAAGACTCGTACAGAGTTATGTAACAAAACTTGTCATAACTATCACTTTTAAAATAATTAACTTTTAACACTCTTGTTATGAAAACTAAATAATCATTAAATATTAAATCACTAAATAAACTAAGTCACTCTTAAACTAAACAGTCTTGTGTATTCAACAATACTGTTAGCAGTAGTCAGAGATCTTTTTGATATTGACCATTAAGTAAAATTTATAATACCTTTTGCTAGTATTTCTAATTACAACCAAAATATAGGTTTTTATGTACCTCTGTTTTCTGATTAAGTTTACCATGCCTACGTTTTTTTGAGCATTAGCTTGAATTCTTTGTAATAAGATAGCTGATATGTCATCAGAATGTGACACTAAATAGTGTCTTCTTTCTAATTTGACTATTTAGAAGATAAGTTATTACAAATACCAAGAAAACAACTTTAAACAAACATACACATTTTTTTAATTATTCCAAAATTTTAAAGAAAAATTCTCATAATTTTATTGCATTGTAATAACTTTTATTTAGAATGTTTTGAAAAGTGTATTGTATTTATAAGTATATTTGTGAAAACTGCAAAATATACTTAACAAACCTTATAATAAGAATGATAGGACGTTGTTTTATACATCATCAGTTTTCACAAACATGTGTATATTTAGCATTAAAAATGGCTCTCCAAAGACAAGTGTGTTCACTGCTGTTAGCTTTCTTTTCTTTGACCTTTAAAAATATTTTCCACAGGTAAATGTGCCAACTGATTTAGAAGGTGGAGAATTGCTAGCCGAAAAGGTAGATCGAAGAGAGTTCATCGACCTTCTCAAAAGAATGTTAACTTTAGACCAGGAAAGAAGAATTACCCCTGGTGAAGCTTTAAATCATAATTTTGTCTCTCTCAACCACCTTATGGATTATGCACATTGTAACAAGTAAGAATTCATTCAGATACATTGTTTTAAAGTATTAATCAACACCACCATACGTAAAGCAAACGTGAAGTTATGGTACACTTAACTGGACACTACCCAACTTTGTTTACTTGTGGTCTATTTCAGGATGAACCCATTCATTAAATAAAAATAGCTTCACCAAGTTCAGTATACCATGTAGCTAAATATTACTCTTATAAATACAAAAGTATGTATTTGAGCAGTTAATAATTTTGAAATAAACTTTGTAAAAATGTATGTCAAGAACCACACCACACACTCAAAAATAACATACCAACGCCATAGTACCTCCTACAAATTGATGTAATCAATACTCATAGGTAATTGAGTTAGTCAACCAACTCTAGACCTGAATAGGTCCAGAAACTACCATTTGATTCAATATTTGCATGCAGAAGTTTCTGGTATATTGCTTGTATGTGTAATATGTAACTTAGATTAGTTATTTTAATTCCTGAAATTAGATAACATCATTGTGGAAGAAAATATATAGCCAACTCCCTTTCCAGTAAAAGAACATGTTGTAATTACTCATATTAATTTATTTTCTTTCTTTTTTTGTAAATAATTTTTATGTTTTATTTTACCTCTGCTTTGTTTCCTAACAGTGTGAAGGCTTCAGTTCAGATGATGGAAGTTTGTCGCAGAAACAGACATGCATATGACCAGAATGGTAACCAAGTGCCAATAATGAGTAACTTTGGTTCTTCATCCAGTAATGTAGCTATTACATTCAATAATCAACTGAGTAACCTGCAGAATCAGGTAGGTTGTTTTGTTACTCAGCGGTGAATGTTAAATATATAATATTGTGTACTTGTTTAATACAGAGTTCCCATATTTGTACCTGTAAATACCTGTGTTTCTTATTAAAGATTTTATTTTAAGTGCTCAAAATGCTTTAATTATGAGAAAAATTTTGGATTTTAAAGAAAGTGTTGACAAAACTGTGTGACTTATGAAAGCTGTTCTAGCACCATCTGCTGCCACTGCTTTCCATATCATAAGATCCTGGTCTGAGAGGCTATGTCCCCAGAGCTATAAGTTATTGAAATAGGAAATATTGTTATATGTTTTGTGTGTTATTCAGTAACTGCCACTGGAAAACGTTACTAGTTGAATAATAGATAGTTTCAGTTTGAATTTCAACATAGGCCATTCTTACTTAAATACTCTACTTGTATTTCTATAATGACACCATATAATATTAATGATGGTGGATCGGACATTCTTAAGAGGTAGTTTATAGACTGGAGAGACATAACACTCAATAAGGAGATCCAGTTAGGCTACTAATTTAAATCTTTTGACCTTCATGACACTTCATACGACTTGTAAGTTTGCCTTTAATTATAGGAAAAATATTGTTTGGTGAATAATAGAGGTGCATTAAGATGCAGAACACACTATTTATCATATGTTAAATCCATTTAACATATGGTAAATAGTGTGTTCTAATGGCACCAATGGCAAGAACACACTATTTATCATATGTTTGTGAAGAGTTAAAAATAATTGTGAATTTATAAGAGTTTTGAACATTTATAACAAGTTATTAGTTTGGTGTTTTGTAACTTCTGTAGTAAAAATACATTTCAGCTGTTTCATCACATCACCTAGATTATTTTTTATTATGAAGGCATCCACTGTTTTATTAGGTGGTTAAGAGTTGAAAAGGTTTATATTTTTCTCTCCAGAATATAGTTGTTATTTAAAATTTGATCTTCAATACAAATGTTGTAAGTTTGACTTAGATTTGCCAGCATTTATGAATTTTCTAACAATCAAGTGATGCTTACTCTAGCATTTGCTTTAGAAATTAGTTCTAAACCTATGTGTTTTACTACATTTAGCAGCGAAATGGTTTGAAACGCAAATCACATGAGCTTGAAGATGCGACAGGTTTGCAACATCAAGTGTTACAGCCTCACCAAACGAAACGAATAGAAGATAGAGCCCAACACACACACCATCGGCATCAAGTGCACCATAAAAGTTCTGCTGCAGTCGTGCCTCTAACCTCAACAAAAAAATTCTCGACAACAACTACAACTATCACCACGGCGCCTGCAACATCAAAAAATAGCTCCTCCAATACTGAGGGGGACTACCAGCTTGTACAACATGAAGTTTTATACTCAGCCACAAACCAGTACGAGGTGCTGGAATTTTTGGGACGAGGGACCTTTGGTCAAGTAAGTCTGTTAAATGTTTTAACAATTTTAGTTATTTTAAATAATGTGGAACTTGGTGGTTATTTGGTTGTTGAGCCAGATTATGTCACAGAACAGATTAAAATTTTGGCATGAAAATCACAACGTTTTCTTCAAAAGTCCATAAAATTTAGTTGATGTTTCTTATGTTTACATTCAAGCAATTATTACTTGTAGTATCAGTTGATAATGAAAGTGCTTGGTGTTTTGTTAGGTTTTTCTGGATTTGTAAATCAACTGACCTTGAATAAATCTCTCATTGTTTATATGAATTTGAATCCAGAAATGCAGTAATTGGGTTGTTTGTAGAATAAATAATTTATAAATACAAATAAAATTTCTATAAGAACTAGAAAAGCACATTTTCATGCAAATATAAATTTAGTTTAGTTGTAGGATTTCCCGGAGAAAATATTTTTTATTTAATTAAAATTCTTTCTATTATTAGACAATTTGATTTTAACCAAGCAAAACTGTGTAATCTACTGTTAATAGCTGTTTCTACTTTTAACTTTCAAGCATAATGGCTGGGACTGAATAACCAAATCAAATTTTTTAAAGTTAGAAACAAACATTTCGTATTTTATTACACTTTGCAACCTGTGTATTAGAAATAAGTATGTACTCTTTTAAAAATGCTAATTTTTGTTTTATTGACTTAGTTGAGTGATAAATAATAAAAAAAGAGTTTAATTAAGATTACATGTACATTTTTATTGTTAGCACACTGATATTAATTGATTGTTAATTTTATGTATACAGACAAAACTATTTAAAACTATGCCTGTTTATTTTTAATCCACAAATTGTATAAATGCACAATAATAATGATGAGGGTTTTGAGAATTATTATGTAGTTAAGACTTAACAATATACTGATCTTAATCATTAACCAGAAAAAAAAAAAAAGGACATTTTTCAGAAGAGTAATGTAAGAGAAAATTAAGTTCCAACATCAGTAACTTCTTATTATTGACTTACAGGTGGTTAAGTGCTGGAAGAAAGGGACCAACGAGATTGTGGCAATCAAAATCTTAAAGAATCATCCCTCCTATGCACGACAAGGTCAGATTGAAGTCAGTATTTTACATCGATTGAGCCAAGAAAGTGCAGATGAGGTAAAAGGATATTTGTTGATAAGATTATTCTTAATGAGTAAGTAATTAACTTTCTTAAAACAATTAGGAAAGCTTGTGTAAACAAATACTCATATGGGCTTTTATTGGTTTGACTGTGAAAAGCTATTAGGCTTAAAAATTGTGGATCTTTAAGAAATAAAATTTCCAGTTCTTTTTACCACTTCGGCAAAGTAGTAATAATAATCAGATACTCCACATAAAACTTGTTTAAAATCTTTATAAGAATTTACTCTGAATACAAGGATGCAGCTGTGTCTTATTCATGTAGTTAGACTGAATCTGGAGACGTTAATAAGACATGTTATAAGGGCGTGTTGATTATTATATACCATTAAAATAAGCTAGAGACATTTTGTTTGATGTTTATCTTCTGTGTGGCTTAATCAGAAATTTCAGAATTGACTGTTTTACCTTTAAATTATAAAAATATTGTCATCTTTGTATGTAGAATGTATTCCGACTAACATTCAGCATTAGCATCTCAGATAAAACCTAGGACTTTTGGATAGGATGCTCTCCTGAAAAACAGTTTGGGAGTGTAGAAAACGTTGACTTTTATTTTATTTTTTTTTACCTTCATATCATTAATCATTAGCCATTAAATTTTGTGTACAAAAATACACGTGATATATATGTGTGTATTCCTCTCTCTCTCTCTGATTTACTTGTGCTGTAGACAAAACAACAAATCATTATAAAATGTAATAACTGCTTTGTAAATATTTCTGAACGTTAGTACTCGTCTCATACTGTGTTCCACCCGTCCCTCGACATTTCGTCATCTTCTCATACAGTGAAAGCAAGAAAGAGTCTCTGATAGTGAAAAGTGTGTTAACTTAGTTATAAGTAAATTGTTTCAATGTGCTACTGTGTTTAAAAAAGTTTCTTGAAACTAGTTTTTAATAACTGTGTGAATTTCATGCTGTACGAGAAGTTAGTATGATATTTGTTACGTACCTGATATAGTTTAACGTGTTTGTGGCTTTGTGTGTGTTTAATGATTATAACACCTAACACATGATAATGAAAATGTATTGGTTTTCACTGAATTGTTGTATTTAAGGTGATGTAAGTAATTTGCTTTATACTCACGGGAAGTTTAAAAGGAGTGTGTATGACTTACAACTGTGTATATGATATTTGTATTTTGTACATAGCACTTGAAAAGTTAATGCAACTATATAAAGTATAACACAGTTATAATACTTGGTAATTTAGAGTATTTAGGTGTTATTATCACAAGTGATGATTAGAAGTTTCAGATGTATCCGACATCTTGTTTTCTGATTTTGTAGCTCTTCTTGTTAGATGTACATAACACCCAGTCAGTTGTTATGAGATAAACTAATGCGATGATTAGAAGTGTCATGTATCTAACACCTGATATGTAACACTTGTTTATTAGGTACTTGAATGGTTCTTTTACTTGGTAAATAGAGTTGACTACTTTGATAGTTAGACTCGGTATCGGGTATATAGTAGTTGGTTGTTAAATGTACTTAACGCTTGGTAACTTGAGTATTTTCTGTTTCTAACACCAAGAAAAGTAATTTGATGTATATATAATACCAGGTAGTTTGTTTAAGCCATTTAACATATGGTAAATAGTGTGTTCTAATGGCACCATTTAACATATGATAAATAGTGTGTTCTAATGGCACCATTTAACATATGGTAAATAGTGTGTTCTAATGGCACCATTTAACATATGGTAAATAGTGTGTTCTAATGGCATCATTTAACATATGGTAAATAGTGTGTTTTAATGGCACCATCTAACATATGATAAATAGTGTGTTCTAATGGCACCATCTCCACTGATAGCAATCTTTACTAAGAGTGTTAGAGTGATCTGTACCTGTCTTGTAGTGAATCACTTCACA